TGTCTGCTTGCATCCCTTTATTAAGTAAAAAAACAATATTTGATACATTTTCATTGCATCCCTAAAGTTTTTAAATGCACTTCCAAATTTTTCAACTTGGACAGACTTCTCTCTGGTGATGTATGGCGGACTTGTCATTTAGTGCACTTAAATGCTGCCCCTCCACAATCAAATGCAAACTCACATTAAGATCTGTTGCATTTTATTAAGAGACTATAATAAGTTGTTCACAATAAGATCAGGCATGTGCATTCAGAAAGCAAAAAGGGTAGGTTTTGATGTTACCTAGACTTTTAAAAGGTCAGCCACACTGCGACTGGCAACACAGTGACAGCCAACGAACAACAAATGCCTTCATCCAATCACAGGTTTTCCTAGTGGTGACTCCGCCCATGTGTTTACAAACACAGAGCTGATTAGGGTTTGAATAACATTATGAACTGAAATTACATAATTATTGCCTAAACTTTTAACGTCATCAATTTTAACCAACATTTAAATAAAATTTACAGTGGGTATAAAGAATCACCCACCTTTAAATAATCACATTTTGTTGCTTTGTAGCCTGAAATGAAGATGGACACAATTGTTGTTTTATCCAGCTGTATTCTGATTCAGCTTTTTTTTTTTTTGTGACATGTTGGTGTTATATCTTTCAGTTGGATGTTATAAGGTGTACTGAGTAAATACAGCTGGATAAAACAAAAACTGTGTCCATCTTTCAGGCTGCAAAGCAACAAAATGTGATTATTTTTAAGGGGTGTGATTATTTTCTAAACACACTGTACATATTCAAAATTATAAAAATTAACATTTTTAAAGTACTACAGAAAATACCTTTTTTTTTCTATTGTATTACTGTGTTTATACTGCACTACTGTTTACTTTATTTAAAAAAAATAGTAACTTAAATGACAAAAATACTTCTTGGCTTTCATCTGATTAAACTAAATCTTCATACAAAAAAGAAAACTTGTAAAAAGTGTTTTGAATCATTTTTTACATATTTATTTCTATTATTTATAGTGCAAAGGAGGACCTCAGCTGTCTGCTGTATTTCTTTTCTACTGTTCAAACTGTAAATATCACACATAGGCTGAAGTGACAAAGACAAACTGTTTCGTTGTTCAATAAAACACTAGTCACTGAAAGCTTGACATATACTGATTTAGTTAAATGCAGCATATGTTCAATTGTGCTGCATTAACAGCTATATGGAGCCACCCATTACATCACACTATGTATTTATTTGTACTTTCTTTATTTATACAAAACAATGTGACCATTACTGTCTTTCGTTGTCATGGAGATGGATAGAGCTGTATTTATGAGGATAGTACTGTACATATGTACAACTGGTTTTCTTGCATTGTTTATTTCACATGTACATCTTCATGCAGGCTAATTAGTATATGCCACTCAACAATGAAGTACAATAAAGTATGAGCCACATCACTATCACTATACTTTTGTATATTTACTGAGTCTCCATATTTGTTGCATTTTTCCTGTTGGAATTTTTGGCTCTGCGTGTTAGTGAAAATCCTGTGACTTAGGCCAAATACATAGGGTTATATAATATAGTAAATCTGCCAGAGGACAGCTGTTTCACATTTAAACATTTAAACAGGCAAAGATGATTTTCTGAATTCTGTGCATTTCAGATATATACTATCAGTCTATCATCTGAAAGCTGGTTTCCTGTAATAATATCTCCATAATTTTTCCGGACATGTTTTTAATTCTAATGGGGAGATTTGAATGCAGATTAGACTTAACGGATAAAGCAAACTAAACTAGGGCGGCTGCCAAAAGAATATTTTTAAAAGGCATTGGTCCGACCTCACAATACACGAGACAACCACTGTGGGCAAAGGTGAATTGGAAAAAAATGCCACAAACTGTGAGATTAAACAGTGATGGTGATTAACATGAGAGCATTCCAGAATAAAACACCATGATACTATAGACAAAAATAGATTATGAAAAAAAAATCACATGTTCTTACATTGAAGGAGGGACTTTTGAGCTCTTCTGACTAATAGGCAGTAAACAACCACCTAGAAACCAACCACAACACCCTAAAAACCACATGGCAATGCCCTGGCAACCACTCACAACACCCTAACATGCTGGCAAGAGTTAACTTCAACAAGATTTCTCGAAAACAGGATTTTCTCAAAAGCAATACAAATGTATACAGAATGAAAGATAAATAGTACAAATGTATAAATTACAGTGGAAGTGATCATTTTTAAATTGTATTATGTATTAAGCATCTGTTATGAGTTTATGGATCTAACAGTAAAATGCGTAAAATAATTTTCCGAAAGCCAGCAGATGAGGTCATTATTGAGTCCCTGTTCTTTTTTCTTAAACATTGAATGAAAAAAAAAAGTTTTCTTACCTGTGTTGACATATTTCCTATTAAACCAGGAATTTCTCACGTTATAGCCTTTAATTTACATCATAGCCCTGAACCCGATGCCCAATTATGGCAAAAATCATAATCACAATTATTTTGGTCAATATTGAGATTACTCCGTCACCACTTTAGGAACTTCATGCATTTATTGAACTTTTAAATAAAACTTGTCTTTCTAACTGAATATAATAATTCAATAAATATAATTCAACAGAACAACATACAAATCGTATGTTGTTCTGTTGAATTATATTTATTGAATTTTGTGTAGGCTGTCTCTTGAGTTAAAGGTATTATATATGAGCAATATCACACTCGTAAATGTGAGATATGGCTGTAAATCAGCACGGCTGTGATCCGGCCGTAGGCCGCAGGTAATCACAGCGTGCAAATATACAGCCATATCTCACGTCTACGAGTGTGATATTGTGTTTATTCAACAGTTCGATGGCACGAGTGTGTAAATACATAAGAAAAACAACAACGGAGTGTCTTTTTAAAACCCTCTTTTGTGCAGAACTACTTCCTTCCGCCACAGATTCAAATCTCAGTTTGATAGTTTAACAGCTGAGCTCAAGCCTCTGTTACTAATTCGAAAACGTCACTTTAGAACTAGTAACGAAGGAACATTGAGTTGCTTAATCGAAAGCTTATTGTATTAACTTACTGTATTAAAAGCTCACTGTATTATGTGAAGTAGAGTATAATGAGAGAGAGATGGACTGAGCGAGTGTGATTACCTGCATCTGATACAGCATTCATTCTTCAGCTCAATCTCATATTCACAATAAAACATTAGTCTGAATGTCCGCTGAGGAAAGCGATATCTTTGTCGTACTATCCTTTCATCTGTGATTTCCAATGACAGCGCTGCTCAGTGCATTTTTTAACACTTAACAGTGTCTTACAAGCTGTTTCAGTCTCTTTCAAAATAAAAGTCCTTACCGCTGACTCGTAAAACAGTCTCTTGTCACCATAATGGTGGAACAATGTCACTAAAATCACAATCACGAACACACACACTGTTTCCCAATACTAAATTCTACTATATAAAATATTATTTATTGAATAATACTAAACAACAGCCATAATAAAAGTTGCTAGACAATTCAGTCAGAAGTGCAAAGACCCTTCTCGCGCTCTGACATACAGCATTAAAGGCAGAGTAAGTGATTTCTGGTAGCCAATGTTGATATTTGAAATCACCAAAACAAACACGCCCCTACCCCAAAAGGGTCTTGCCCCTATTTTGATAGCTCCGGAACGCACTCTCCTCCACATCACGAGTAGACACGCCCCTTATTGCTGATTGGCTACAAGTTTGTTTTGCGATTCGGCCCGAATCAGTTTTCTAAAGTGTTTTTGAAAAATCACTTACTCTGCCTTTAAAGTTACATAAAATATAACGTGATGAGATTTTGCCCTCAGCCAAAAAAAAAACAATTTGCTCTGGAACAAATAATAGATTAATGAGACCAAAGACTGCCGATTAGATTTACCCAAAACGAATAATATTTCATGTTTAACCACCACTATAGAGACATCAGGAGCCAGCGGCAAATTTCAGAAGATCTGGCCGAGGTGAGGCTGCTCTCGACGGGTTCATGAGCGTTGAACGCCCGCTGATGCCCTAAAGCTCACATCTCCGAAAATGTCAACACAAATTTTCAAATAGACATTACCTTTATTAACAAACCGCATATTTGAAGTCTAAACAAGTACATTATCCCCTAAAAAACTCTTAAAACTACATTCCGTGACACAAAAACAGTACTTTTTGTAAATTACAGTGGATTTGGGGCGCCGCCATGACACTCGTTATGGTAAATAAATACAAGAAGCAGAGTGATACAAACGGTGAAACAGTTGGAGGAGTTCTGTTATCACTCTAATATCGCACTCTTATCAGCCAATCAGATTTAAGGACCCACCTGGGGCCGGTTGCATAAACCGCTTAGACTAGTCTTAAAAAGTTAATCATCTAATTTTTTTTTCTTTAAGACTGGTCATAACTTCTTAAAGGCAGTTATAAAAAGGGAGAATGGTCTAACTTGAATCCAAAAAGTAAGTCTGATTACCTCTTGGTTAGCTAGTTGGTCAAACTAGTTCTTAAGACACAGTCTTAACATAGTGGCTATGTTTATGCAACTGGCCCCTGTTGTATAAAATAAAATATCATTATTAAAATTAAATATTTTTTTATCCATTTTCCTGGAAGAGAAAGTCTTTTCAAATACTTATATCTGCTAAAAGTTTACTTTGCAGCTTTTAAGTTATAGATGGCCTTAAGGGTATCAGATATATGGCAAGAAACAAAAGTCAGTTTGTTTCCTTTAATGTTTTAATATTTTGCACATACTCATTCACAAATAATGTCCATAAACAATGAAAGAGTTTAATATTATAATTTTTGAACCAAATTTGCAAACAAATACTACACACTGATCAAACTAAATCTCAATCAGTGCTCAAAATAAATGCTTCCATTCGATTAAATATTTCATCCTATTCTTGATCCGCTGGTTCTTTTAAGAGCTCTTCTAAGCTTACCAGTGGTCTGCATTTCACCGGTCACTAATGGGGTATTTATAGCAGATGCATCAGTGGGGGCTGGTATCTTCCCATAGGGGCCTGTTTGGGAATGCCTGTTAGGGCACGGTCACTTTCCTAATATATCCCATATCCGTTTCAGCTTCAAGACAGCACTCCAGCTCTCCATTCACAGTGTATATGTGTGAGAGTGTGTGAAACTGTTTATGCATGTTTTGATGCTGTTGATGAGCCGCTTTATGACCTTACAACCTTTATATTGATGACGGGCACCATGATGCGGAGTATGGACGCAAGGGAAACTGAGATCGACCTGAGGGATGCAGGGGATGGAGAGGACGACGAGGAACAACAGACGTGGAAGACGCAGCTGGAAACAGTCCTGGAGGAAGAGGAAGAAGAAGATGTGATCTCTACACAGAGTGACACCAGGCCTCTGATCAATGAACGGGACCCAAGACAAATAAATGAGTGTCTTAAGGTAATCTCTTCATGGCCACCTACAGTTCTTCACTGTAGCATTATAGAGTCTGTAGAATGTCACTTTTGATTGGGACAGTGGCTGATGTGGAAAAGTTATTCAAGGGCCAGGAACATATTATCTCATAAATGTCAATCATGATAAACCACTGTTGATTCTAGTGATTGTATAGACTACAGCCTCAAAATTAACTTACTGCAAAAAATTATTTCCTACTCTGCATTTTTGTCTTGTTTTCCAGTGAGTTTATGCTTAAAACAAGATAAATATCTGTCAGTGGGGCTAATAAAAATACATCATTCAAATGGAAAACAAAGATTTTGTTCTTACCCCATTAACAGATAATGTTTTAAGCATAAAATCACATAATTGTGACTGATTAAAAACAACCTACTGACAAATATTAAGCATAAAAAGCTTAAAAAGAAACCCAAAAGCAAGACTTAATATCTCAAGTCATTCTCCTTCTCAAATAAATATCTCCTGATTTAAGAATTTTTAAATATCTGTAAATAAATAAATATTATTTTTGCGATGCTGGATTTTCCCTTCCAAAACCTTTGCATTCTGTGACATTTTTTGGTAGGTAAATTAGGTTGAATTAGATTCCACTTTGTTGAAGCCACTCTAATCCAAAGTAAGAAACATTGTCCTGACATTGTAGACAACCACAGCTGGTAGCAGGAGATGGATTAGAAGAACATGTGTGAATATCTCCACTGATGTGGACAATAATAGCAACCGCTTCTTAAATGAGCTGACCAGACAGATTTACACAGCTATTAAAGACTAGCAGTAGCCACTGCAGCATTGTTTATGTTATAAACTGTTGCTAATACTATTGCAGTTTTCAGTTTAAAATACTGCACTTAAGAGGTTAAGATTCATATCGAATGCTGTGAAGTACCACAGATGGAGACGGTCCATTCATAGAGAAATTAACATATACACTCAATACTGCAGCTGTAGCCTTTCATTTAAACAGCGAATCAAGCTTAGCTCATTTGTTTTAGAACATGTATGTGCATTAGCTAAATTTAATATGACAATTGTGATTTAATTTATTTAGTGAAAATGAGCTTAGCCAACGTTAGTCTCACGTAGCCAGACCTTCAGACTGACGGCTGAAGGTCTGGAATCCATGGCAGCTTTCATTGGCCAAGGCCCGCAATGACCGACATGTCAAACAACCAATCACAGTTCGCTTCGTTTCAGCGTCACGTTTCGGAGCGTGGAAATGTCGCCACAATACAATAACAGTGTGTAAAACTCTCGGACGTATTTTAAAGATTCTATGCCGCGAACTTTAAATATTTCACACACTTTTGAGCGTTTAGTTGATCCTGATAAGCGCTCGTCGTCACATTTGTAAACACGACGGCTTTCTTCTTTCGAGAGGGGGTTTGGCGCCACGGCCTCTTTGTTTCCAGGCGAACGTTAAAGAACGCGACATAACACGTCTCCCGGAAATCCTGTATAATTCAACCAATCCGATGACGACTTCGAAACTCCTGAAGTGTTTCCACTTTTGCATCAGACGTTTAGCCAAAGGTCCGTGGGCGTGATGTCTGTAAGGCTGAGACTAAAGCCAATGTTGCTTAGCCAGCTTGCTCTCCCTATTCATTTAAGCTAAATTTAAATGTGAAATAATGTCTAAAATGTCAAATCAAATCTAAATCATGATTTATGAATATTGTTGTCGTGTTCATTAATATATGATAGTTAAAGATTTTTAGCTTAGACAATATTAGCTTAGCCAGCTTAGTTTTTCACGTTCATGTTAAAGCTAATGTATTCATACATTTAAATGTAAAAACCATGTCTAAAATGTAAAATCAAATCTAAATCATGATTTTAGGACTATTGTTGTCAAGTACGTTGGTAATATGGAGGTACGTTAGTGAAAGATTAGCTTAGCCAGTGTTAACGTAGCCAGTTTTGGCCTTCCATATTCATGTAGCTAATAGTATCCATACATTTAAATGTAAAAATCATGCCTAAAATGTAAAAATGAAATCTAATTCATGATTTATGACTCTTGTTGTCAGGTTCATTGGTGATGTTAATGAAAATTAGCTTAGCCAATATTAGCTTCACCAGCTTAATCTTTCCGTTCATTAAAAAGGTACTTGAATATAGTGTTTATACTGACTAAAATAGCTGCCTAGGGGCATTGTTCAAGCTGTATTAGTTTTAAAGCAGATGAGGGCAGGAGATGCTACTTTTCTGAATGTTCTGTTCCGACAGGTTAGTTTTGAGGATGTGATAGCAGAGCCGGCATCAGTGCGCAGTGGGGATCGGGTGTGGATCTGGAGTCACGCTCTTTTCGAGGTGTCCAGGGCCTGGTTTTATCGTATCATCACTGCTCTGCTGGCTGTTCCAGTGTCCCTCCTTGCTGGGATTCTCTTCGCCGTCCTCAGCTTTGTTCACATCTGGTACGAGTAGATCCTTTGAATCGAATCCATGACACTGGCATTTTTAGTAGTAGATAAAAAGTAGACATTTGTATCAGATTTAAAAAAAAAAAAAAAAAAGAAATGCTAAGCTTTCACCTTTTTCTTTGTTTCAGGTTCTTTACGCCATGTGTGCAGGTTGTCTTGATTAACACCGGGTGGTTGCAAACTTTATGGAGCAGCGTTTTAGACATAATCATCCTACCCTTCTTCCAAAGCATAGCCAAGTGCTGCAGTGGGATTAGTGTCGTTCTCACACGGGAATGAGAAGCATTTCTCTGGAATCTGCTGAATCAATTCAAATGGATATTCACATTGAACTTTTGGGCAGATGTGTGGCCATCTGACTCCTGGTGCATGTCAAGGGGGACCATGCCCAAATGTCAAGCGTGATGAATGTTAACTCGCTGGCAAAAACTGAGAGGAAGCGGATATTTGGAAATGCATGATGTTTGCTTAGGTATGAATGTAATTTAAAGGGATAGTTCCACCAAAAATGACGATTCAGCTGATGTTGTTCAAAACCCATGTTATTTTTTCTTCTTCTGTGGAACACAAATGTGGACCACTTTTACAGTGTTTTATATACCACCTTTTATGTTCTAAGGAAGAAATAACGTCTTACAGGTTTGCAATGACATGAGGGTGAGTAAATTATGTCAGAATTTTCAATTCTCAAAGAACTAGCCCTGTGTGTTTTGTACAGACTTTATCAATGTTTTCTTTTTGTCAAATAATTTCTTAATTTCCCACTGAAGGTGCCATAAAATGTGTCTGCAGCTGGTTGGGGTCGAGCTATCCTGCCTTTTGGCAAATGATTATGGTAAAACATATTGCTATTAACATCCGTTGTGTGTTTTGATGACCTGTTTTGCATTGCACTGAGGACACATTGTGTGCTCTTTGAAGTGTTCTCGAAGCCCTTTCATTTGTAAAATAACCAGTTGTCCCCGACTATCCAATTAAATGCGTCACTCATCATATGCAAATTAGGCCACCAAAATAATAGTAACAACTGATTCATAATATATCGCCCTCTGCTGTAAACGATCAATCTGCCAGTCATTTTAATCTGATTATCTCTATTCTAGCGCACCCTTGAGATCATATCTCCTTAATGCAATGTTCTTCCTAAAGTGATATTTTAAAGCATATACAAAATCTCTCAAGGTCTTAAAGTGACAGTTCACCCAAAAATGAACTCTGTCATCATTTAAATGATTTTCAGAATTTTCATTTTTGGGAGAACTGTCCCTTTAACTCAAATAAAACAACTCCACCAGAGCTCAGGGTACAGATGCATCATGGATCTATTAAATAATGGCAATCAAATGGGTGTGTCTGTAACTTAGCAAAAGGAAACACAAACATGGCTGGACTCATCCCGTGAGAATGTGTAAATCCTAAAAACGGTCTGATATACCAGTATGTTTCAATGGATATCTAAAACGTTGCATTTAACAAAAGTTAAAAAGCAGATTTTGCCACCATGTACAGAACATCAACCTTTATTTTCATATAAGGAAGCCATCAATAGAAAATACAAGGAGATAAGTGAAGGTTTTCATTAAAGGGAGATGTTTGAGAGTGGGTGGATGTACAAATGGTCGGTGGACCAACTAAAAGCGCGAGTGCATAGAAAAGTGTAACATTTCACAGTCTGATCCAGTACACGTAAAAACTTCTCATAGTACAAAACTCAACTGTAATTCACATTTTTGTGATCAATTCTTACATGTTACTTTTTAATTAAATAAAGAAATGGAGTGGAATGAAATGTCTAAAGTAACAAATCATAAACACATTTGACCCTAAAATGAAAAGTCGTTCCTCATAAATACAGAAAACACTTGTACACCTTTTGGCCTGGTGAGATGGTTTTAAAAAACTCAAATTCCCAATATCGGTATGTTTTACATGGCAGTATTGGACAACAAAAACAATTGTTCAGTCTATACGAGAACTGAAATAAATCAGGGGAAGTCAGAAACCATGTGTTGAAATTTTAAGCATAAAGGACTGACTGAAACACATGTGGAGGAAAGGGTAGTTTATGCCACCTGAATCATGTGGCCCACTGTGTCCTCTTCAGATTGATCCTGCTCAGATTTCTGTGAGGAAAAAGGAAGATGATGAAAATTTCATCAATACGACATGCTATGAGAGGGTGACTGGAGTTGAACTCTTACCTGTTTGAACCATGAGAATTTTCTGATCAATGTGTCTGATATATAAAATATTAGTGATTGACTCAACTCTAAAATGCATTTCAAACCATCTATGCGATTTATTTATCAATGAACGAAGCTAAAAATATATAACATTTTATATTGAAGACTTAGTCTATAATGCAACTCTGCACAATAAAAATGTAATATTTAACCCTTGTGCTGTGCTGAAAATCCTTTTACCTAATTTGGTGTTCCCAAAAATGGCCGGCTTTAATTGCTTATAAAACTCTCATTATGCTATATTACCACCAACTTGTTTTCTTTTGATCAATGAGGACTATGACCAATCAGTTCCAAAAATAATTACAAAACCTGTGTTAACTGAAAGAAAGCTGAAAAGACTGAATCTAATATTTGGTAATAATACAGCCTAATGAGAAATGTATTAACTAGTTATGGGGAAAAGGAAATCCTCTCCCGGTCAAAATGACCAAAACTCAACATGAACTTTTTATATGTAAAAAAGTTTTTTTATGTAAAAAAAACTGCAAGGCATTACTAACCAAGTATAAATCAAGAACAAAGGTTTATTTGCATAAAAAGGGCATATATATCATCAAGTAACAAACATGAATGCAAACAAAAGCCCACATACAGCCGTATGAAACATAAAATGGCAAAAGCAACAACAAAGCCACAGCTCTGGCAAAGACAGAAGAGCGTTAAAGGGCGCAAGCCAAGCCATACATCACTAATGAAAACACATCATTTTGAATGGCTATTCATACCAGTAAGATGGTAAAAAGGACAAATAAACACAGCTTAATACATCTCAGTGACTATCACAAGCAGTCTGGGGTAGAAGTTTACAGCATGGTAGGACAAACGGCAGAAATGCAGACAGAACAAAGACGTCAAGGTTGAAGATTTCCTTTTAAAGTAGCAGTCAGACATTTAAGACAAGAAACCTTAAACACTGACAGGGCAAATTGTGCTAATCACCCATGTTTACAGCTGAAGTTTTCTGAAAGAAGCCATTTCCAATTAGAGTTCAAATATACTATCTTTAAGCTGCACACAAAGATATGCAGCTAAATAATGAAATTATTAAAGGAAGTAATAAGCTACAATGCAGCCTAGCAGTTACAAACATGGGGACCAATCTGTACATTGTATTTGCTCATACTATATACTAGAACATATATACTAAGATCTTAGTATGCATGTTCAGTTTAATTGGTTGGAAATGTCAGTTAACTCACAGACAGAGACAGTTTGGACATGAATGTGTCACAGACGCATGAGGTAGCTCAGGCAGAGCCGCAGCGTATGGATGGTCTAAATTAAATTAGGTGTATAGAGTCTCTTGGGTCGGACACAAGCTGGGATTGGATAGTTTACCCCAGAGGCGGGGCTGAGGTGGCTGGCCAATGAGAGCTGAGCTCAAGCCCCTCGCTCACCTTAAGGGCCTGCATGGCCATTTCTTCCTTTTCCTTCGGAGAGAAGAAGCGTCCACCGTCTCCGCGCTTCCTGGCCATGGCGTGACGATGACGGGACTCATGCAGGTATTTCTGGAAGGGAGTGGGAAAGAAAATATACTGAATATTCACATACATGGTGTGTTGAACAGAAACCTGTCAAATATGGATATTTTTAATAAAGTAAATTAAACTATTTTTAATAAATTACAGAAAATGAATAATCAGAGTTGCTTTGTCATGACAAAAATAGTGATTAAACAGATGCAAGAAAGAAAAGATCAAACATAATTCCATATGCAAATACATTCAAGATAGAATACAAACTGCAACTCAGTATGCAAATACTTTAATGATAAATTAACTGCAGTAGTTTAATATTTTAATGGATTTAGAACAAACCTTAAGCAAAATTCCCAAGGAATATCAATAAAAGCTGCAGTATAATTATTGAATTGCATTAATATTCTTATATATAATGGGACAAATAATATTAATTATGATATTATATAGCCATTTCTATCCTTTAAAGAAATGTTAAGAATTTTTAGAAATGTGAGTTTTAAGATGAAGCCTGAACTAAAGGTTTAGCTTGTAAATAACCAAAAAAATAAATAAAATAAATAATATTATATCTAAAGAAAATAAAAAGGATATGTGTGTGTTTGTGTGTATATATATATATATATATATATATACATACATATATACACGCCAAATATTATTAATATTTTTAATGAATTAAATTATTACTAATACAGTTATTATTAAGGTAAACAAAATTAATAATTAGGACTGCTTTGCGGTTCTTAAAACTATATATATAATATACTATGCTAATATAGCACTTATTTATTTATTTATTAACCAAAATATAAATGTAAATCTAAATATAATTAGATATAGATATTAGATAGATTATATATTAGATATAATCTAATATAACATTTGCATAGAGTTATATATATATATATATGTATATATATATATATATATTAGTCACTGCACATAAAGCCATTGAAAGTCATTGTTATTGCCGTAAAAAAAAAGCACACATACTCTTCTCTCTTTGGGTATTTTGCCCTCAGCTTCTAGTTTGGCACGGGCTTGTCTTCTCTTGAGGATCCTGTGATACTGTTTAGCGTTGACGTACAGAGGTTCCTCTTCCAGCATCTCTGCTCCAGGAAGAGGAATGCGCTGCATGGTGGGAACCGACCCGCCAGCCCCTGGGACCATCTGATGCAATTATGAACACACAATAAGGTTAGGAAGTGTGATCTAAATAGATTAGCTGTATAGCACAAACTCACTTTTGGTTATAGATAAAAATGACCACAAGTGCTCACCATGACCATTCCTCCAGCATTGACCATGTTTCCTGCCATGGGAAGAGTGACCGTCACTGTGCCCTGACCCGTGTTGGTGGTGTTTGTGTTGGATCCAGCTGAGACTAACTGAGCTCCTGCTAAAGATGCAGCTGGAATAGTGATCATTCCTGGACGGACAATCACAAAATGCATTATTTACAAATGCAAATTATTACATGTCATCAGTAGTGTAAACACATGTACATTTAACTGCTTAAAAGTGCATGATGTTTATGGCTTAATGTTTTGCAGAGGAGTAGCAGTGTTACCCTGCTGTAGGATGGTCCCGTCCGCATTAACAGGCTGGTAAACGATGGTCTGTCCTTCAGCAGTTTGTGCTAACTGCTGACCCTGCAGAGTGATTTGCTGCTGACCCTAAGAAAACATTTATCATGAACTTTATTAATATTTTGTATTTAACTGCAAGCTTGCAGAGCTTATAGAGGCTTCTCCTTCATATTTGCACAAAAAGGTGATAAAATGAAGTTACCTGGTTCTGTCCTGCAGTGACTGCAGTCTGTGGCTGTTGAATGATGATTTGTTGGGTCTGTCCCTGCTGACCGTGTAGCTGTAAAGTCTGTCCACCAGGAAGCTGGATTTGACTGGGTTGTACCAGCTGAATCTGTGCCACATTTGGTCATTTCATTACAATTTCATACCCAATATTTTGATGGAACACTACGTTGCAGTGGTTCTCAAACTTTCTGACTGGTTCTTCAAATCAAAAAATGAATGAAGTCTTGATTGTTTTTGTTGTATTGTCTTATTTTAAATCATTTTAAGTCATCTTGGAAGTTTTCTGAAGCCCCCTGGTTGAGAACCACTGCTATTACTACTATTAGATAAATTAAATATGTTAGTGAAAATAATATATTTTTAACCAACAATTCAGTGTGAAATTAGCTACACCCACCTGCTGCAACCCCTGTGTACCAGATACTGGTACTTGCATGAAGGTTTGACCTTGTCCTCCTGTCATGGCCTGTACCATTATGGGCTGCCCAGAAGAAGTGATGAGCTGACCCCCGCTGACTTGTACCATAAGAGGCTGCCCTTGAACCTTCAAAGAGGATGCATGGAAAATCTCATTAGTTTTGCAGCAACTTTAAAGATAAATTCCCTCAGAGGTTAACCTTATAAAGTCTAATAATGTGTCTTATTTAATTATCAGCATGATCAAAACACTGAAAAACCTGTCGTACACTATCTACAGAGCCTTGATCATAAAGCATTTAAATATCATCTTACTAACACATTTATTGGGAGATATAATGTGACAACTCATATTTATATGCATATTATGTAAGCATTACAATATACATTGAGACAATGCAAAACACAGATGCATGCAAGAAAATGCAGTGAATGTGAACTTCCGAAATGCAAAAAATTGGTGGTGCAGCTGTTATGTACTTG